GGTGACAGTACATGGATGATCCAAACCCTCATCCTCACATCATATATCCAGTACTAATCAGAATACAGCAACAGTGATTACTCAGAAACCTAGAAAACAAAGACACTTAAGGTACCTGGTGGCCCCCAACTCAATTTTAAAACCTACTAGAATGTGTCATTTCTAAATTATGAAGGTATCAAGTACTGGGCAAGAGTACATAAATCTCACAATATTTTTAAGCCATACAACTAAACCCTACCTAAACAAGAATACATGATAACTTTATTTTCAGCAGTGCTCAGAAATATTTAAAATATATCATTACAGGGCAAGAAGGGCATTCCACTAATACAGCTTACCAATATGACCAACTTTAACTTTAAAGGGCACATCCAGTTGACTCTACCAAGAAAAAAAAAATATGTAAAGCATTAATAAATATAAAGTTCAAAACAAAAACTACTTTTTTCTCCCAATAATTGCTTAAAGGGTATCTGAATTACCTGCACATTATCTTCAATACTTACTTAAATTTACAAATATATAATTAAAATATTATTCAAGTCAATAAAATTAATGGAGGCTTCTCTTTTCATAATAAGTAGTATAAGGGTCCACATTCCTGCTGCCCAAAAAAGCTACCCATACCAGATAATTAACACTTTTGTATTTTTTTTTTTTTAAGTGAGAAAGCTCACTGTCCGTTTGTGCTTCTAGAAACATTTTGCAAAAAAAAAAAAAAGTTTCAAAACATTTCTCCCCATTCAATGTCAGAAAGAACAGCCTTTATAATAAATGGTGTTAGGAAAATTGTATACCTAGTTGCAAAAATATGTCTTATGCCATACAAAAAATTAACTCAAAATGGATTAAAGAACTAAATGTAAAAGCTAACACTATAAACGTCTTAGAGGAAAATATAAGGAAAAATCTTCATGACATTAGATTTGGCAATGATTTCCTGGATAAGACAACAAAAGCACACATAATTTAAAAAACAGATGAACTGACCTTTATCAAATTAAAAACTTTTGAACACCAAAGGATACTGTCAATAGAATGTTAAGGTAACCATTGGAAAGAGGTAAAATATCTGTTAAGGGTCAATATGCAGAATAGATAGATTGCCAAAAACTTAACAACCACAGCAACAACAACAACAAAAACCTGATTAAAAAACGATAAAGGACTTGGACAGACATTTCTACAAACATACACAAATGGTAATAAGCACATGAAAAGAGGTTCAATATCATTAGTCATTACTAATTTAAATTGATACTAATCAAAATAATAAGATATCACTTCACATCTATTGGAATGGCTATTATCAAATAAAAGCAGAAATAACAAATGCTAGAAGATTTAAAGGATATGAAGAAATTCTTTTTTTTTTTTTTTCTTTTTTTTTGGTTCTGGTGATTGAACCTAATACCACTGAACTATTTCTCCTGTCTTTTTTACTTTTGAGACAGGGTCTCAACAAGTTGCTGAGAGTCTTGCTAAATTTCTGAGACTGGCTTAGAACTTGCAAACCTCCTGCCTTAGCCTTCTGTGTTGCAGGCATACATCAAGGCACTCAACAAGGATTTGGAGAAATTAAAATCCTGTGCACTGCCGGAGGGAATGGAAAATGGTACAACTACTATGGAGAAAAAAACCTGGGTGGTCTCTAAAATATATATAAATATAAATAAAAATTTTCATATGACCCAGCAATTTTACTCCTAAATAAATACTCAAAGAAGTTGAAAACAGCATCTGGAATGAACACATGTACACAAATATCATTGTAGCATTATTCACAAGAGCCAAAAGGCAGAAACAACCCATGTGTTCATCAATAGCTGAATGGATACGATCCGTATGTATATGTACACACACACACACACACACACACACACACACACACCACACAAATATTATTCAGCCATAACAAGGAATGAGAGTCTGATACATGCTACAACATGATGAACCATAAAGACACTTTGTAAGTGAAATAAGCTAGACATAACTGGACAAATACCACAT